CTTTTTGCCTGAGGCTTTCGGACAAGATTACTTACTCCAGTAGGCTAGAAAATTGCTGTTTTTCGGAAAATANGATTGGTCATATAATCGTGCTTACATAGATGCTTTTTATACAAGATTCTTAGTTGGTGGGATAAGAGGATTAGCTGAATTTACTCATTTTTTTGATCGACGAGTAATTGATGGGATGACTAACGGGGTTGGGGTTATTAGTTTCATTGTAGGAGAAGGTATCAAATATATAGGGGGCGGACGCATCTCTTCTTATCTTTTCTTGTATTTAGCTTATGTTTCAGTCAAACCAGATAGTCCATTTCCTTTCTTTTCTCGCTCCTCAAGAAAGACGGCTAGAAACTTCCTATTAGGAATGACTTCCTTTCAGGTTGTGTTGTTACAACCATACTTGGAGCACGAATTCATACGTAAGATGCCCAGTTGGATCACTAATTCGTAGATAGACAACCTCTATAAAGGATCTCCCTCGAAAGGAGAATAAATACCATTGTAGCTAGGAGTGGTGAGCAGCACGGAACTTGTTTCAATCAAATGGCATAGTATAAGGGTAGGAGGCTTTCCTTTGTTATAGAAATCCACATACAACATTCTGGAATTTCCAAAGGTTAGTACTTGCAGGTTCAATCTCTCTTACTAGTATAGAGAAAAGAAGTCTACCTTTCTCTATACTAGAGCATACGGGGAATCAAATCTAAAAACCAATATATGAACAAGAGAGCATATGAGGTAATAAAAAGAAAATCAATCGAATAGCTAGTCCTTCCTTTCTTTCTCGATCAAAGAGCTGACGAAGGGGATGAGCGGAATAGGGAGTCTACTGGACGCGGTTCAACTAGCAGAGACTCTTGGACAACTGGAGTAAGAAGTCCCCAAGTGAGCGTCTTATGGGGGGCCGTCAAGCACATACGATACAGATCAAGGGAGATCTCGTTGTTGCACAGCTCAGGTCGGAGCAAGGTGCCATCAGACGTTCAACAGGTAGTCTCATGATCGGACACTCATGCCCCGACATTGTCATTGTATACTCCCGCGGGTCGGAAGGCGGCGGGGGAAGGAGGGGGACACTAGGCGAGTCCGTATCATGGTGAAGATAAGGTAAGGCTGTGATTCTTGCTCAAAAAACAGACCGAACGCTTCATCACTCGACTCTAAACCAAATTAAAAACACTCGGCTATAGGATGATAATTCTTCACTCCGGAAGGGTCGGTTCCATACCGAATGGCTACCCGCTTTCGAGTGAACTGAACTCTTGGACTGGCTTCTTTCTTCGTACAAATGCTCATTTAAAGTAGAATTTTTGCAAACTTATTTGAAACTTTAGTCCATCATACAATTTTCAACTTGGCTTGGTCTTAGGACTCTTCCTAGGCCCTAAACCGCTTTTAATGTATCTTGTACACCTATTATCATATTTATGTGATATCATTTATATTATTAACCCTAGTTCATACACGAACTAATATAATTAGTATATCTCAATCTTCTTTATCCTTTAAATATTTTAAAAAAATTCGGGGTGATATGGTGATTACCTTGTCTTTTTCTCCCAGACAACCCTTTCGATTTTATACCTTTGTTTATCAAATATGCAAGAACAGTACATCATACTGTGATTGAACGGGCAAACAGACTTTAATCCTATTTTAGACATGTTTATTAAATAATTTTCAGTTTAAATTTTAAAACCATCCATATTTTTGTTTTTCTCGTAATACTGAATAACATTATTTTTTTTTTACAAATTAAGCATTTAAGTTTAGTAAGTGACCCCCAAATACTATCCTTCAATTTAAAATTATAGTGGTAGGTTGCAAAACAATTATGGGAGATAGTATTGTTTTTATAGTTAATTGGAAAAAGATATAGGAATGGTTACTTTTTGGTTATATGATTTTATTTTATAAGATAAATTTTATATTTAGATGTCAAAAAGTATAATTAAAAACAATAATATTAATGGGTTCCTAAATTTGTGGAAGTTGAAATTTTTTCGAGATTAATTTCCTAAAGTAAACACTTAACTAAAGTTAAGATGCTTGATAAGTTAATTTAATTTAAGCATTTAAAGTTTAAAATAAATAAGTATCAATCATTTAAGTATGCATTTGAGGATATGGAGAGAAAGTAATTGGGGAGGAGTGGGATTCGTAGCTTATGGCGGCATTTTGGTTCAAAAATTAAGAAGATTTTTTGTCAAAAAAAGTACTTTTTTTTTTTGCAAAAAATGATTTTCAACAAAATTGAGAAAATATTTTTTTTTCTATTTATTGAACAATTTAGCTGATATAGTAAATAATATTGATTATATCACAAATTAAGGGTAGTTTATAACCAGTCTTCATCCATTCAAATATTTTCAAGATTTTTTACAACACCACTCGATTTATACTCACTTTTCATAGTTGAAATTCTAAGGCCCATTCTTCAAGCTTGCAATAATTGTAAATTTTAGATGGTATTTTAATTTATTCCGTGAAATCTTGTTTATAAGAGTTATATTACACCCCATATTTTCGTACGTGAGAGTGCGTTATAAGTCAATTGACGTAAGCTTAGAAGTCAAATCATCTTTGAAAGTACATAATGTAAGTTAATCATATTACTTTGGAGGTCACAAATATTTAAGATCATGAATAATAAGTACCAAGAGGGTTGGAAGGCTTAGAAACTAAACGAATTTAAAAAAAAGTTTCGTAGAAAGTCGACAAGTTAAGAATGTAATAACATATACTTTTGGGGTGAGACTAGGGTTCTTAACATGATAAGGAAGTTATGTTATCAGTTATTTTAGTCATATGATAGTTATATGTTATATTTTGAAGTCAAGCGAGTTGTGGAATAAAAGTTGGCAAAGGTCATCATAAGTCACATTCATAATGTGCTGAAAATTAGGTCAAATGTACTTGAGATTTTCTCCCAATATACTTGGAATTATGGGATGATCCGCCTACCAAATTGAAGATCTACGAGTCTAGTTTCTAACTCATTGAACTATTCGTCGATATGATATTGGAGTAGATAGATATTCGCGTTTTCGCGAGACTGCGCAGGAAGCCCCTATGAGACCCACTTAGGCGATTGATGATTCTCCAACCTTATCGGAGCAAGGCTTATTTGGGTTTATTTTTCGACCCAACCAGATCCTATACTCTCCCAAAATACCCTCAAAGCAGTCTACATGATTCTAAAGTGAAAAATAAAGATAAAAACATGAATCCAACGCTAGAAATCTCGTGATGCTTGCTAGGTCGTAGTTCTTCATCTTGTGACTATTTTGGAGGATTCTTCAAAGTGAAGTAACCTCAGGTTTTGTGTTGTTCTTGTTGATTAAAGTAAAAATCAGTCCCTCCTTTATATATATTGGAGTTTCAAGGTGAACTACAAGTGTTTACACACCAACTTGAACACCAAAAGTTGATTTAAGAAGAGAAGTATTGTGGTGCCATTGAGGATAGTTGTGGGCTGTATTCAGCTGGAAAATCGTGTTGTTTCTACTAGTTAAGGTGAGTATAACAACTTACTACATGTGCTTGAAGTTGTTTGTATGTTGGTTGCATTATTTGAGCAAAATACTACAAGAGAAGATTTGAAATAGTTTGAGATGTTATTGTTTTTAATGGACTATTTTGGAAAGGTTGTTTCCATGAACTTTAAATGGTTGAAAACCTTGAAAAATGACTTTCTTACGATATTTTTGTTATAAATATATTGTCTAAATATCGAACTTGATGTTGGTACTATGAATATGGAGAGAAAGGACAATATAATAATAAAAAGTTATACTTGTTGTTGTTGTTGGATTGTTGGGCTGTTTGAGGGTGAATTAGGAGATGAATAGGAGGTTAGAAGTCCTCCCATTGTACATAATATCATACTAAATATGTCGTTAAGTTAATGAATGAATGACTTTGGGTTAAAAGATTCAAAAGAAATTCAATCCGAGCTTGTCGTTCGCCATGTTAAATTGTAGTTTCGTTGGTGATGTTTTATTCACTTATTGTTGAGTAGCTTGTTTGTGTTGTGATGCTGAAAGTATATAGGTGAAGGTTGTATGGGTTCTTCTTAGTTTATGGACTTGGGAAAACAAGGAAAATAGAGTATATGTCGCCTGTTTTAATATAAAATAAGATTATCGTTCGTTGTACAATAGTTGCATCTTTCGTAGCTTAACAATAGCATTATTATCGTTGTTGTAGATTAAGGTGCGACGAGACGAGTTCAACGTAGTTATTGGACAGATGGTGATAATGTATGTTAAGTCTGAACTTTTTTGTTCATTTGATCCTATAACTACATGCGTTTGATAACGAGACATAAATGGCAGTTTGTATTCGTCAGCTTATGTACATTATCCTAGTCTCATAAGTTATAATAGTATTCTCCCATATCGGGACCTTATATTCATTTAAGTATTATTATATAGACCCTTTGCATATATATAATGTGTAGTATATATATAGTATTATAATATTTTCATCACTGTCAAGCTATAATCCGTCGGCAGGCCCTATTGGGCAGTATTATAGTATTTTCAACTCTATCGAGCTATAATCGGTGGGCAGACTCCTATTGGACAACCTCAAATCAAATAGTAAAGTTATATACTGAGCCTATTGTGGTCGGACGGACGCCTATGAGCGAGTTCAGAATGGCCGAGATACACATCCTAGTACGGCCGAGCGCCTATGAGCGAACCTACTACGGTAGAGCAGTTACACATACCAAACCTTATAGGGCCGGACAACTTTATTTTCTATTCATTAGTATAAATCGCCATGTAATGTGAAACAATTGGGAATATTTAATAGGTGTTAAGTAATTTTTTTATAAATATTAAACATAATTATTTATTTTACTAACTTTATTTTCTATTCATTAGTATAAATCGCCACGTAAGGTGAAACAATTGGGAATATTAAATAGGAGTTAAGTAATTTTTTTAGGAATTTTTGGTGCCGGTGCCGGGTGCAAGTCTGTAGGAGAGGGAGACAAAAGGGTAATGTTGCGAAGGAAAAGGGTCGCAACAATAAACAAATCTGTACATAGTGCGCATACAACACAGTACGTGGCCTCACCTTGGAAATAACGTGTCCCCCCCAACCGCTCTCTCTTTCTCTGTTTCTATTTCTGCATGAATTTCCCCGCCACCCACTTTCTCCTCTTCCAATTCTTCACACACACACACACACACACATATATATTTACACATAGCGTCTTCCCCCACCTACTATTTCTATAATCCTAATAAAATCACTTTTGTTGTACTAGTAGTAAGTATACCCTTACCTAATTAGCTTCTCCTACTTTTCTTCCCCCCACAAAAACCCATCTGCTTATATTCCCATTTTATCTGCTTTTTTAGATTCCGTTTCTCTTCTATACACCTTTAAAGTGGGAAAAGAAAAAGGAAAACTACAGTTGTCGGTTTCCCTTTCTTTTGGGTTGTTGCCAAATGGCGGATTCATTGGAAAAGAATAATAATGGGCTTGATCGACGGTTGAGTCCGTCGGCTGATTCCGGCGAGGTTCCGGTTGATTTCGAAGTGGAAATTGTACAAGGTGATAATGGGGATGAAACGCACAAGGAGACTGATGTTAATAGTATGAATATTGTTGAAGGTACTATTTGTTTTCTGCTCTGGCATTGTTTTGATGTTTTCCTGAGAAAGGTTTGAAATGCTGCGGCTTAGCATTTTCTCTGCTTGATTATTAGCTATATGTGTCATTTGCCTTTTCTTGTCCAATAAAAAATTGTGTCATTTTATTTGCTTTTGGACTTGGTGCAAGTATTTGTATGACACTGACTATGGATGTTCGTGCTATGGGTGAATGTGGTCCGAGTAAAAGAATGTGACCAAAATTAATCAAGCTGAGTTGGCTAGGTGTTTAGCCAATATTTTAAAATCTGCACCAGTTATATGCCCTTTCAAACAAGGGCCTGGATATCATACTTACTTGTCGATACACATTAGACTTGGTATTGTGGGAAAGTAGATGGAGCAATTGAAAGAACATATATATCTAAAAGTGCTTAACTTTTTTATGTGTTGAAGACATAATTAAGTAGTAAATAAAGGTGTGCTCTCTCTAACAACCTAAGCTTTTAGATGAAATACTCAAACATGGTATTACAACACAGGTAGAGGCCCTAAGTTCGAGTCTCATCGTCACCCATTTTTTTTGTGCTTGGCCCGTACAACACAATTAAGTAAATGAAAGTGTGCTTAGATGAGATGGTCAACACAGTTGAATATTACGTACTTAAAGTTTTGTTTTCTTTTCTTTTGTTCATTACCAACCTAGAGATTTTCCATAAAGAAGGTGAATCTTTGTGCTTCCTGACATAGATAAATTGCGGTTCTATACAGGGTTAGTGCACAAAACTTGTGATGTTAAAATAGACATCTAACTTGTGTGCATGAATTCTTTTACATGGTGGGAACTGCCTCCCTTGCATCATCACCTTCTGCTTTGGCTAGCACCTTTTCGATTGAATCAACTTTCCTTTCTAATGTTTGTTTCCACAAATGAAAGATAATTTGATGTCGGGATGGCGTGTAAGCAGAGGCGAATCTATGATTTTAATTTAATAGGTTCAAACTTGTATTAAACTCATTATACTATTAAAACTATGGGTTCAAATCTAACATTTGTTAAGATTTTAATAGGTTTTTACATATATATCTGTACTCCGTGTTGAAAACACTGTGTCCAGATGAACCCATAGACTGTAAGCTACATCCGTCTTTGCATGTACGCATGAATTCTTTGAGCTTTCCTTTCTAGTTAGTACTTTTCTGTCCCAATTTATGTGATGTACTTCCTTTTTAGTCTGTTTCGAAAGAATGATATCTTTCTACATTTAGAAACAATTTAACTTTAAACAATTTATGGCTTTAGAATGATATCTACATGGGCTTTTCTACATTTCTACAATTTAACTTTTCTACATTTAGAATGATATCTTTCTACATTTAGAAACAATTTAACTTTAAACTTCCCATTTTACCTTTAATGAAATGATTTATAGCCACAAACATTTATGGCTTATTTTCGGCCACAAGTTTCAAAAGTTTTTCTGTGCTTCTTAAACTCCGTGCCCAGTCAAAGTGCATCACTTCGTACAGAAATTCTGAAGTACTTTTATTCCAAATAGACCTTCTTTGGGCGATTGGTTTGGTGTCATTCTAACTTCTGATCGGCTACTGGGAGGAAGTCTGCTTCTAGTTAGTTACTATTTTATGGACTTATGCTATTATTGATTTATCAATTTCAAATATATGTTATATCATATTTTACTATTTGATGGCTATTCTTAAGTTATTTGTTACTCATTTTGTGTCTCAATATTAATACACCTCGATCAGGATCTGTTAACGGGAATTCGGCTGGGCCTAGCGCTACAAATGTGGAAAAGCCGGTGGAGATATCAGAACTTGGTATCCGTCAACCGGTTAAAGCTGGAAGACGCAAACAAAACCAGAATCGGGCTCTAGGTCTGCTAGCAGCAAAGCTTTTTGATGATAAAGTTCCTTTAAGAAAAAAGGCAGGTGTAAAATGTCAAAATTGTTTATGCAGTTGTTTACACGTTCTTTGATGTATTTGTTTTTGATTTGCTGAGGGATTGGTGGAGAAGCCTCCAATTGTTGAGATCTTCTTAAAATTTATTTCAGGACATCTTTTTGTTAGAATGAAACCCTTTAGTTTGCGTCATGATTGATATCAGAGGCGGATCTAGGATTCAAAGTCTTTGGGTTCAACTTTAAAGTTTTTAGTCTTAAACCCATTATATTTTTAAAGCTATGGGTTCAGATTACTATTTGTTCCAACTTTATTGATTTTTACACATAAAGTTATGCTCCGCGTCAAAAATTATGGGTTCAATTGAACCCGATTTTTTTACCTTACATCCGCCCCTGATTGATATCAAGCATTTTGAATAGGCATATTTAATAGTATCTTGTGAATAAAGTATAACGCCTGTTTCCTTCTGGGCAGGTGTTTTCTTGTCTAAGAATATGAAATTAACTTGCTTGATTTTTGTACCTTTCTGAAGCAACCAAAGAACTTGCTGCTAAACGCTAATTATTGGGGCCTACTTTGGGTTCACTGAAGATACACAAATTAAATCATTGGATCGAAACAGCAAGCTCCACATCTGTATTAGCTTGTATAGATGTTTGTTAAAGTGTGTGTAGTTTAATTTTTTTAATTTTAGGTGTTGTCTAGGTGCTTGTCAAGCTCCAAGTTTTTTGCCCCTGGTTAGGTGGGGATTTACATCAGTTTTCAGCCTTTCAAAGGATACTGAAGATGGATTTTCCCATGAACATACTTAATCACTCCTCATGGTAGTCCTAGGTAAACTTGGATACATTTAAATGTTCTGAAATCACAGGTCTCTTTCTACCTTATCTGTTCACCTGTTCTTAGAGCCTTCAACTTTGTCTTCCATTTAGAAGGGCTAAAGTCCCATAAATTAATTTACTTGGGCTTCTGTTCATTTACCATCACTTGGGTGTGTTTGTGTTGCTTTTATCATGTAATACTCTGGAAAGTTTAATAATGGAGCTTCCTTGTTACCAGACAACTATCTTCTTTCAGACATGATGTTTTTAATGAAACTTGTGCCTGTTCTTGTAATTTGTGATAAAACCTAAAATTTGCAGCTCAAATTGTTCAATAGGCTTGCCACTGTTCAAGATGACGGCACTGTGCAATTTGAAGTTCCGGGGGATATTAAACCCGAAAAACTTGATTTTGGCACTGGAGTTGTTTACAATGGGGCTACAGCTGAAACAGCAAATGATGTAGCTGATACACCAGAATTACCTCCATTGCAAATTGTTATGCTCATTGTCGGGACTAGGGGAGATGTGCAACCGTTTGTTGCCATTGGGAAGAAGTTTCAGGTTTACTTGCCCTTCCTACTCAACAAACACAACCATCTGCAATTTAATAATTTACTACATTTTATTAGTTAACATAGTCACTTGCTTTTCCTATTAGTTAAAGGTAACTTTTTATATCTTTCCAATCCATGAATTTCTGGCTGATACATGTGCATCCTTTTACAATGTGAGTATGCAATAATGATATCAATGTTTGTTTAGGAAAATAACATCTGTGGCATTTGCTGGACGAGTCTTTGATAATTATTCCTGTTAACTTTGAAGTCAAATAATAGGCGTATTATAACTTGGAAGTGGAAATTTCTTTTGCAGGAAAGTGGTCATAGGGTGAGACTAGCAACTCATGCCAATTTTAGAGAGTTCGTCTTGAGTGCTGGATTGGAATTTTATCCTCTAGGTGGAGACCCAAAAGTTCTTGCTGCTTGTGAGTAATCTTCTCTGAAAACCTTATCCACTGGCCTTTTCATTATGTCATATTTCTCATATTCAGGTTTTAGTCAAGCATATAAACCACCACTAAAAATATTATGCAACTTAATTTCTGTCTAGTGCCCTTAAAATGGTTTGTACTTGAGTTGAGGGGCTCATGGCATATACCTACCTCAGAGCTTTATCATATTGTCTTTTTGGTAACATATTTTCGTCCTTTGTAAGAATCTAATAGAAGTAAATGTGCTTGTAGAAAGCTAATTCAGTCCTTGAACTCTGACATTAGTCAAGTTACTTGTTTGTTTTAAAATTACTGGTCACCGAGTTGGTAATGCAATTAGCTTCAGCTTTCAGCCACGAAGCATTTAGGAAAGTACTTGCGTCAAGTGTGATTTTGGATGTGAAGCCTCGAGGCACGTTTGACTCAAGGTTGAAAGCATTTTACTGTTTCCTTGTTTTTACCCTGGAAATTTGAGACCCAACACCAGAAAGAAGAAATCATATGGGAAGAATAAAAATGTGGAAGCATGAAAAAACCTGTAGAACTTTCTGCAATAGAATAAAGATCAAACCAGCAAGGCTGTTTCATCATAGAAGTAACGGGTATGTTTTGCCTCTTTTTAATGAAATCTATTACCTTATCTAAAAAAATCGTGGAAGTGGTTTTGACCCTTCAAACAGTGTTTCCGTGGGGCATAGTGGTGTCGACTTCCAATTGCTTTATCAACGTGGTTTCAGGATTTCTAACTCTACTGTGAATAGAAACAATTTGAAGAACCATATAAAAAAATGAAAACAATCTGAAGAATAAATATGCTTCCTTTTAAATAAGGTAAGGGGCTGAAAATTTTAACTCAAGACGGATGTCTAAACCAGTTTTGCTTTTGTAGCTACAACTAGTTCACTGCATATCTTGAAAGAATTGAGCATCAATACTGGTTGGATGATCTCATTATGTGCTCCCCAAGTCATCATGTTTTTTAATTTTCTTATTTTTGATTTTATAACCGAGAAATCCCAAGGGCTCGTGGGGCATGGTTCCATGGTTCGAACTCGGTAGTAATGGGCCTGCCCCTCTACCCTTTTCCACTTAAATACCGTGCTTTTGTCTGCGGCAGGGTTTGAACCCGTGAAGTGCGGCTAACCTACACATCTCTTGTTGTGCTCTTACCACTGGATCAATACCCTAATTCATCGTAGCTTAACATGTCTATCCTTTTATATCTTTTTCTTTTTATGTTGTTAACCTTGTCGATTGGTCTTTGGTCACAGAGGCCCCAAAACAGAAAACAGTTTTTAACTTTTATAAAACTTAATATACCTATAAATGTGTTTAAAAATAATAAATTAAAAGAATAGTTGATGTTGTTGTTATTGTTACTGTCACTATTACTACATCATCATCACCTCCATTAACATTATCATTGTCAGTATCATTAGTTTGTCCCTTCCAATTCATGAATCTATTTAACCAGGATAGGGTTTTAAGATGGAAGTTGTTTAAAATGACATTATTAGTGAAATGGTGTCAAACATTTTGGAATGTCTCAGAATGGAGAGAGACTATATTTGTAAGGATGTCTACCTCATGGTGCTATGATGAAGTCAGAACTCTAAGAGGTCGTTTGGTTACAGGTTTAGAGAAATAATCCCTGTATACAATTTAGAATTGTTTTATCCCCGTTTGGTTGGATCTTTGTTTTTGGCATAAGCAATATCAAACATTATTTTATTCCACAATTTTGGTATTATTTTATACCGGATTCAACATGAGTTTCTAATACGGGATTAGCAAGCATAAGATAAAACACCTAAAAGACCAGACTTTCCTTGACCACCTCTTTTTTTCTCATCTTTCCCTTAAAAATAAGGATAAAACTGTAAACAAAACTTCAACTTAAAACCAAACATGTTTTTCACTATAAACAGCGAAGCCATTTCGAATGCAATGAACGGAACTTGGTCAGCACTTAACAATCCAAGGATCATTAATCCTAGTACTAGTATTACAATCCCTGCATTATAATCCTGGCATAACTCTGTGTATGAACCAAATGATTCCTGAAGGTTAGATGAGGGCTTGTTAATCCTTCAAACTCTTTTGCACCTCTTTAGGGTTGGTGGTATTAAAATTCATTGGATTTCAATTTTTAGAGTCTCAAGGTTGGGGATACTTGAACTGGGTGTTGCTGGTGTAGTAAAAGTGGTGATGGGTGAGATGAGAATCCTAAATGTAGCGGTAGAGGATTGGGAAATTGGACCTACATAGGAGCTTGTCTTCTTTGTTGTATCCAATGTACTTGGACCCAAAAAATAAAAATAAAAACTGTTAGTTTTCTTAACATTGGAAATGATACAGAAGGGGAAGCAGGGTTTTTTCGGCGAAGTCCTCCTACCACCAGCTTTTAAGAAGAGAGGATCCTGTTTTCTTCACTTGATCGGTAGCGCACGGAGGTTCACCCTCACATCTGGAAATTTCAGGAGGAAGATAGGAGGGAGATAGCTGGTGCTACATGTGTCACTGTTGTTCAGGAGAACGCATGTGGATCACTTACTGTTATAATGCTGGGTGGACGTGCTGTTTGGAAACAACGGGCAATGCAAATTATAGTAAAGGATGTGATGTTTAGTTGGACTTCAGACAGTGTAGACCACACGATGTAGCTTGTTTGGCTCTTACGTGTGTACTTAAGAGTAAGAAATAGAATAGCCTTTCAAGGGGTGTCACATGATTTCGTACATATAAACTTTGTTTTTAATTAANACCGCGAGGCCCGGCCCGTTAGGCCCACTAAGGCCCGGGCCCGGGACAAAATACAGCCCTACCATGAGGTTCCTGCTAGACTAGATGACTTGTCTGGAGGTATTTGTAGAACACTCCTTATATACGAGGCTTAAATAAGTAGTAGCACTTTATCAAAGGAGTGAGTGGCTACCAAGTACTATGCTTCCCAGTTTTGCATCGCGTAGTAAAACATGCTGGAGAGTTCCCTTGGAAGTTGTTTGCAACTTAGAGGAACAAAATTTGTGCTGTGTCCTGTACTGTACTACTCTGTACAGCTAGTAGCTAAGAGAACGAGTACAGCTTGTTCATAGCATTTTCTTATTTCTTTTTGTGTGCATTTTGGAGAAATGAAGGACCGCACTTGTCAACAACCTCTTCCGATGGCTTTTGATCTTTCGGATCTGGTTTACTGTTCATATGAGGTACATTTTGGTAGTCATTAGGACTGAAATCTACAAGTGTTATACTCAAGCTTGGAAATTGTATCCTCATTATCTGGGGCAATTTGGATGCAGAAAACAAGAGATCATTTGAATCACTAACTTCTACCCCGGTAGTTGTAGATATATGCCATTTGTCTGTGCTCAGGCTGACTCGCCTTTCTGCCTATATCTTGTATTGAAACAGAGAAATTCCATTATTAGCATTACACAATTTCACTTATTAAGTTGGGTGCTGATAACAAAAGTGTCCTGGTTGGATTGTATTGTATTTCACAACCTTGGTATATTTATAGTCGAAACTGGTTAATGCTTCTCTCTCTCTCTCTCTCCTTATTACTTGTGGTTATGAATTGCTCCCAATCAAATTTAGAATGCATAATCAGCAAATTTGATCACTGCGTATATGCTTTTGCAGACATGGTAAAGAATAAAGGGTTTTTGCCATCTGGACCTTCTGAAATACATATTCAACGAAATCAGATAAAAGATATCGTATTCTCCTTGTTACCTGCATGCGTAGATCCTGATCCAGAGTCCAATGTTCCATTCAAAGTAAATGCCATTGTTGCCAATCCTCCTGCATATGGTAAGACTATCTGCTTGATGTTTTTTTTTTTTTTTTGGAAAAAGGTTTATCCAACCGCAGCTTGATAAATTGTGATATGAACTACTCATGCTTTGATAAACGTTACTTGTGTTGTAAGTTTACCTTCAAGTTGTTGCTCAGGATAAGTGTACATCATTATTCCCTATTTTTATACTGCATACGTCAAAAGGATTGGTTCTTGAATACTTTTGAACAACTCGTGATGTCAAAAAATTAAATTCCATCTATTTATGTAGTGGGGTTTTGTAAGCACAAACAAAGACCACAGTATATGAGATTCAAAGTTTCAGAGATATACTGATTCCTCTCCTTCAGGTCCGTGGATATAGCGACTATTAGACTATAACTGCGCTATACTTTTCCGTATATTAAAACTTTGGAGAAAGGAACACACTCCTGATGGCAGCGCAAGCGCTAGCAGATATTTTCCAGATCTTCTGTACTCATGTTGAACTCTTGCAGTCAATGTTGTGCGTTTGGAATTTTTCATATTCTGCTAAAGATAGGATTTTGAAACTTTATCCTTCTTTTGGAGTTAGTTATTGAGACTGAAAATATTTCCACTCTTAGTTGTTATCTTATTCCATGCCATTGGTTGGGTTGTGACAAGTACTATCTCAACCTCATTATCAAGTGATTTGTCTTACATTGTTTTGGTTGTGTAATATATCTGATTGATTGATTTTAAAGACGTCAATTTGCACTAGTCATATTGGAAGTGATGAAAAATTTGGTCAAAGCTTTAAGTTTGGATAACATTGCTGATTGCTCATACGTAAAGCAAATCGGTTGATTACTGCATGGAAAAATCTGCAATGTAGTATTTAAACCTTTCCTTGCCGATGTTGTATTTATATGAGACATTAGTTTCACAAAGTTGGCAGAAATTTGACATTTCGATCCGCATAACTTGGTTGATATGCCATTGACTCTCTTGTCACGGGTGCTTTCTGCCAGTATTGCTGGCATGTGGAAGAAATTGTGGTAAACTAACTCTACTTTTATTTAGTTGGAAAAGTTTTTGGTTCAAAAGTACATATATATCTGCTGAATTTTATCACAATTGATGATATGTTAGATCAAGCAAAATTTCCCACATATTTGTGCGTGATTTATCTTATCCTTTGCTTTGTTGTTTAGGACATATGCATGTAGCAGAAGCCCTGAAAGTGCCATTGCATATATTTTTCACGATGCCATGGACGTAAGTGGTCTATTTCGTTGCTTTCCAACTCCTAATATACTCTATTTGCAATCAAGTGGCTCCAGTGAGAACTCTGAATGCTTACTGGTCAAAAATAGATTTTTTTCACAGTTTCTTGCAAATCTTGTTCTTTTTATATGGGTATGATTATACAGTTTCTTGTAACATGTGAGCTTTCTACTCTTTAAGTTTCCTGCTTTAATTCCCTGGCAGGCCTACTAGTGAGTTTCCACATCCTCTCTCTCGTGTCAAACAGGCAGTTGGTTATAGAGTTAGTGTTTGATGATATTCATTTTCTTTAGCATTTTGACTTCACTTGATAGTCCTTTTGTATCGTCTGTATCTTAATCTCTGAATGCCTGGTGCAGTTATCATATCAAGTCGTTGATGGACTGATCTGGCTTGGGATTCGAGATGTGGTAAATGACTTCAGGAAGAAAAAGTTGAAGCTAAGGCCAGTAACTTATTTGAGTAACTCCAACAGTTTTCATCCAGATGTGCCTTATGGGTATATATGGAGTCCGCACCTAGTTCCTAAACCCAAAGGTCTCTTTCTAAATATCTTGCAGTAGTCTCTACCTTGTGAGTTTCATGGTTGAGATGCACCGTAAATTGTATATGGTTCATTCTTTGCAGAGCTTAATATATGGAGTCTGCACCTAGTTCCTAAACCCAAAGGTCTCTTTCTAAATATCTTGCAGTAGTCTCTACCTTGTGAGATTCATGGTTGAGATGCACCGTAAATCGTATATGGCTCATTCTTTGCATAGCTTAATGGTCTTTTATAGTAAATTCCGGGATGTTTTTGCCCCAACCTGTCTGCCCTTTTAGTTACTTCACTTTTTGTTTGGTCAGGAGAAGACTCATTGCTTCAAAAATTGATAGTTGAAATTTAATGGAATGGTATATCCGTTCTCATTCTAGATTCGTCTTTGTAATGTGCTTCAGATGGTCAGTTTGGACCAAATAATGTGTAGGTTTGGGTCATATTCAAAAACAAATTTTGCATTTAATTGGAAGCTGTTTCATGTTATGACCATGTAATAAGCCGAAATATTTCGGGTTCAACAAGCTTCTGTATGTATTCTCTTTCCTTTAAACAACATTGAAATGACTGAGCTTTGGCTAGAGGTAGACACAACACTAAATACGAATTTAGTCAAAAATAAGAAAAAAGTTTTAAAGTCAGAAGGAGATGTTACTTCCCAAAAGTAGAAACAAGAGAAGACTCTGTAATGGGTAATGGAAGGTCAAGAATGACTCATTAGGTTATATGTCATTTTAACTTTCTGTTTTTATTCATTAGGCCTTTTAATCTTGTCTCTTATACCTTCAATAGTTAAGTTCATTTTAATTGTTGTAGGATCTCTCTACTGTTTCTCATAGGATGAATGTAAATCTTCTCTTTCCCATAGATAACCAGTGGGTCTTTATCAATGGATAAATGAGATTTGTTGCTTCATTAGTTTAGTTTATCTTGGCAAAGGGATATTCTCGGTGTTGGGAACTACACAAGTATTCTCACATATGGTATACTTGTGAGAAAATACAAGACTGTTTTGAAGTGCTTCCAAGCTGCTTTTAATAGTCCGTAGTTGAATGTTTTCTCTTTCTTGGGCATATATATAAACAGAACTTGCCGCCATATTTGATTGTTGTGATAGGAGTTGAAGTTGGGTGGGAGTTCGCTGGGGACTATTTGGTGCTGTTCTATTATTTGAGAAGCATACTTGAAGAAGTTTTGGGGGCTTTATCAAGGATTAGTTTTCGAGTTATATGGGAGTAGAGGCAGGATAATAGTACACTATACTTGTTAGTTAGAACCTGCACTGGAAATGCTTAGTTACCAACTCTTCTCATTTGTGACCAATTAGCAAGTCCTACTCAACGGTTGGATAGGGAAGTGAACCTGTTCATTAAGAGAGATTCATGTAAAAATTGGTAGGAATCTGTGATCATTTGTCTCTCTTCTAGTTGGTTCTGAAAATAATACTTTGGTGATTATTATTTTGTTCACGTGCTGATGAAATGTTTCTGTTATTTCTTTCTTTTCTACTTACAAAATTCTGGAAACAAGCATTTTAAAATTGTCTCTATGTTTTGCCCGATGATCCGTAAGCTTACCTCTGATTTGAAGTAACAAATGTTGTTTCCACTTGTTGTGGAGACACAAAACACGAAGGTAGTATTTCGCTGTTAAGAAGGACCTGCCAAGAAACCCATGATAGTATTCTTGTCTTCTGTACTAGAAGAAGAGCACCCTCTCCTTCTGTTGGGACTACTGTTATTTTTCGTCACCTTTCTAGCTCCTTCTGCCTCTATCCCGATCCTCTCTCTCTCTCTCTCTCTCTCTCAGACAGAGACGTATATCCCATTCTCAAGATAGTCTCACAGTAGTAGTTAATTATTACTACCAACTTCTTGTACCAGGGAGGAATAGCCTAGCCTTAAGGACCATCCATTTCCAACTATAAGGTTGAGGGTTCAAGGAAGCAAGAGAGTAAAAGGGATGAAGGGCCGCATTGAGCTCTTGGCTTAGGGAGTTTTGTTCCCCCCCGGGGGGGGGGGGGGGGGGGGGGGGGGGCTCTAAGTCCAACTATGTTATGGATTAGTTCGAATGTGCCTTCCAAGGATACTAGCCTTCTACAATTCAAACCACAGCCAACGGAAGAGCTCAAACTACAGTAAGGCAAGGATGATTCTTCAGGTTTAAAAGGTTTATTGCGATAGCTGTTTTATTGATAGATATGTAAGCACATAATGCTTAGAAATCTTAGTAGAGTAAAGAAAATTAATATCTTTGCTTTGATCCAAAGCTAGACTAGGAAGAAGCAAAAAAGAGAAAATTGGAGTCATGAGCAAGGAATTTCAAATGGCCAAAGTGACTAATCACAAAGTTGATTAACGATAATAAACCCAACGTAATCCCACAAAGTGGGGTCTGGGGTGGGTGGAATGTACTCCTACCTTGGTAATAAAAACAACAACAAACCCAATGTAATCCCACAAAATGGGGTCTGGGGAGGGTGGAGTGTATGCAGACCTTACCCTTACCTTACGAAGGTAGAGAGGTTGTTTCCAAAAGACCCGCGGCTTAAGAAAAAATGGAAAAAAAGTAGAAACAACAAGTATCAACAGCAACAACAACAAGCAAAGGTGATAGATTATTCGAAGTGAAAGGAACAACATATAGTAAAAGAGATGTGGATAAGGAGAAACGAAAATACGAGACTAATGCTAATGCTACTGGCATGAAAATGAGACATGCCCGCTTATCCACTAACTTTCTACCTTAATTCTCAACCTCCATACCCTTCTATCATGGGTTATGTCCTCAGTAAGCTGGAGTTGCGTCATGTCATGCCTAATCATCTATCCCCAATACTTTTTAGGCCTACCTCTACCTTTCCTCCGCCCCACCATGAGCAACCTCTTACACCTCCTCACGGGGGTATTAATGCACCTTCTCTTCACATGCCCGTAGCATCTCAACCTAGCTTCCCGCATCTTGTCCTCCACGGGGGCCACTCCCTCCCGAGTATCAACATTCCTTATCTTATCTAACCTAGTATGCCCACACACCCATATCAACATCCTCATTTTGTGCTACTTTCATCTTCTGGACATGGCTGTGTTCTTAATATGCCAACACTCTACAACATAGTAGGTCTAACCACTACTCTGTAGAACTTACCCTTAAGTTTTGGTGGCACTTTCTTATCACACAAAACCGCGGAACCGAGCCTCCATTTCATCCATCCCGCTCCAATTCGATGTGTGAAATCCTCGTTAATCTCATCACTACCTTAGATTATTGATCTGAGGTACTTGAAACTTTCCTTGCTCATAGTGACCTTGCTCATACTGAGGGAAAGGATAATACAGCTGAAATAGTTGTATCTGCTTCCTCTATCTAATTGCTTCTTTTCCTTTGATATGTTTTAAATTCACTTTCTAGTATTTTTCCAAAACTAATGTGCATATTTTTCTGTTGATTCATGACTACAGAAATTTGATTTAGAATGTTGGAGATTTTCTCCGTTTTCCTACTCTTAGTATGTCTTTTATTCATTCGTATATATGTATTAGCTAGATGTAGCCTTTTTCAGCATTCAAGTTTCTTCTTAGCTTCTAAGTTGCTAAGTTCGTTACTCTATAACTGTTATTGATTCACTTCTTCGCAAAACTAATCCGAGATAGGTGCCTTATGAAACAAAGAAAGTGCATCTCTGAGTGTAACATGCTGCTATTCTTTTTGATAATGATGAAATGTTGCATCACAAAGGTTACTGTATGTTCTGCAAGTAGATATCCTTAGAAGATAAAGCTTCTGGCTTTCTCCATTTTCCCTTTGAACATGATTGTTGAATTGTCACTAATAAGTTGTCTATGTATCATTTTGGTGTTTTTCTTATTACCGAGGGAACTGGCAGCAGAACATGCTGTTTCACTAACACTTATTTCTACCTTGTGATCTGCAGATTGGGGCCCAAAAATTGACGTGGTGGGCTTTTGCTTCCTAGACCTTGCTTCCAATTATGAACCCCCAGAAGAACTCGTTAAATGGCTTGAAGATGGTGAAAAGCCTATCTATATTGGCTTTGGAAGTCTTGTAAGTTAACCACTGTTAATTTCCTTTTGCTACTATGAGTGTAAGCTACATGGGACTCAAAATCAACTGAAATTTTATACTCATTTAAGTCGGCTTCTTAAGTATCATGCTTACTTTTTAAAGTCCTGTATGTATTTCAATAACCGCCATTAATTTCTTTGTTGCTACCCGTGAGTCTGCATACCTACATGGGATTCAAAATCAACTGAAATGTTATGCTAATTTAATGGGCTTTTGAAGTATTGTGCTGACCTTTTAGTGACAATTTTCTCAAGATATTAAGTGTTTTTCACAGCCTGTTCAAGAACCTGAAAAAATGACCGAGATAATTATTCAAGCTCTGGAAATGACTGGACAAAGAGGTATCATTAACAAAGGCTGGGGTGGCCTTGGGAACTGTAAGTACTTAAATTTTTTAGTTGTCACACCAAAAAAACCTACTGCAATTCACAAGGTTTATGATCGATTATATTGGCTGATAAGACTATTTCGTGTTATCTCAGTGAAGGAGCCAAAGGATTTTGTGTACCTGTTGGATAATTGCCCTCATGATTGGCTATTTCTGCAATGTGCTGCTGTGGTATAACCTCTTTACCTCAGTTTATTGGTCTGTTTTCATCTGAATTTGGACGTACCCCTGCATACATGCCTGCTCCTCCACCTTTTCATCTTAAACTGTTAAAAGACTGAATTTTAGATTGATGATCTATGATATGGTTGTGCAATAAATTGTTTAAGTTGATAAAGGGTGATTCAGTCCACCTTTAGAGGTCTTTGTATCTCCTCTATCACAAACATACTTTAATTATGGAACTCCTTGGGTGATCCACTTAGTTCATTGATCCAGTTTAAGTTTTGCTTAGTTCCTATTGCCGTTTACCCTATAATTTAAGCGTTGTTTAATTTTCTTTTCATGGCTGCAAAAGGTAATTCTGCTTATTATCCTAAACCGTTTGGGTTATGGCAGCTTAATCTATACTTTACGGGCAGCTTAATCTATACTTCACGCGAAAATTGAATATGAGTTTGACTGTTATTGAATAAAATCTATGGAAACCCTTTATCTGATATAGTGCATACTGTATTGGGACAGAAAATGAACTGCCTTTCATGTCCAAGCCATATGTGCATCAACTTTAGCCTCCCCTCAACTTGATAAAGTAGTTGTTCTAACATCCGTTATAAGTAAATTTGTTTGACCTTTTAATCATAACAGCCACTGATATGTGGAGATTGTATTGTTCATTCTTCCAGGTGCATCATGGAGGTGCTGGAACAACCGCTGCTGGACTCAAAGCCGCGGTAATTATTTGATTTCATACATGACTGTAATCCTTTAGTTTGTTTTAGTGGCTTACTTTGACTGATAACACATGAATGTTTTTCAGTGCCCAACAACTGTGGTACCTTTCTTTGGGGATCAACCCTTTTGGGGTGAACGTGTGCATGCTAGGGGAGTTGGCCCTGCTCCCATCTCCGTGGATGAGTTCTCACTTGAAAAGCTGGTTGCTGCCATCCGCTTCATGCTAGATCCAAAGGTAGGTAGTTTTCCATAGTGTTTCTTTTTCAATCGGCTATTTCTGGAGGGACGTCCATATTTGGTTTGCTTCTTTTTCAAAAGATATTTTCGTCTGTCAAACATGGGGAATATTTCATGAGGTGACCAAGTGACGAATTCTCTGAGTTAATATTTAGTCTGATCGTCTATATAGAACCAGATACAAAAATATTTGAGTGGTCCAAAGCCATGATACATGCTGGTCAATATACTTTGTGATGTGCAGGTAAAAGAACGTGCTGTAGAACTAGCAAAAGCCATGGAGAATGAGGACGGAGTGACTGGGGCTGTGAAAGCATTCTATAAACATTTCCCCCGAGAATCACTTGAGCCTAAGCCTGAGGTCTCACCTCGTCCTCACCATTTCTTTTCCCTAAGACGCTGTTTTGGTCATGCCTAATTTTTTAATTTAAAGTCTACTTCTGTGTGATCATTGATGTTGTAGAGATAGAACAGCTTGTCGGAATTATAACCTCGGCAACAAAGATATCCATAAAAATTTAGGATCCAACACTCATGATGGAACATGTCCCTGATATTGATTGTAATTTTGATAATGTAGTTTGGTGTTTGTTTAAAATGGAGTGAGAGGAGTTATGGGTGGTAATATTTTGTTGCAAAAGGAAGTTATGGATGGAAATGTTAGTTTTCATATCCCTAATCTCTTTCGCTTTCAATGACTTGTTTAAGCATATGACGGTTCTGGTGCTGATTTTTCCTTGGATTGGAGAAAATGGTGCAAAGTCGTGTACTATAAATATTGTCAGACAAGGAGCAACTTGAACTAGTAGCAAAACATACTGGTGTATGCACAGTCTTATGTATAAATTACGATCAAGTGAATAGTTCGCCAAGAAGGTTTTGCTCCACTGCCAAAGTAGACAACCTAAGCAATAAGAGGTCACAGGTCCGCACTGTTTTGGAGCTTGTTTTGCTTAGCGAGTGTTTCTTTTTCCAGACAAATTGGGGAATAGGCATCATCTGGATTAAGGAACGTCATACACTTGAATTAAACTATATTAAGTTATATAACTTGGTTATATTAATTGTTTAATCATAATTGTTTTTTTGAAGTTTTGTGTAGAGTATGAAAGAAACCCAGATATTTTTGGCGTTTCCTTTGTAGTCTTTTCGATTATTTAGATAAGTGATTATATCTAATTGACTATACATTATTTTGGTTTTTGAGAGGATAGTGATTCATACATTAAGCTAAAGTTTAGACATAGATTTGGTCGAAACTTGAAGAAAATGAGATGATTGAAATTATGTTTGGATAAACATTTTACTTGAAATGAATTTGAAGTTTGTGTGGAAAACTTTATAAACTACTCTAGAGATATTTTTGAGATTTTAAGATTTTGTTTTTAAAATCTGCCAAAAATGATTGAAATTTATAAACAAACCGGTAGTTGAAAACAAAATTTGAAAAATATTTATGGCCAAACGGGTGAAGTGACCGTAACAAATTTCGATTGAGAGGCTGAATAGTCGAAACGTCTTATTAAGTCGCGCCATGAAATCATAACCTAATACGCTCTTACTGGCTTCCATATTTTCAAGCATACTTCTTGTTCATGGCGCTTTTCCATACGTTACCAATTACAAGAAAAAAAGTGCTAAAGGATTGATGATTACAACATCAGAGAGCTCAATTGAAATGAAATCTGATCATTTCAAGGCTCGAGAAGAATACAGGTATAGGCCACCAGAAGTGGATTCAATTCTAATGAGATTGTTGCCTATAAGGATCCACCTTATAAATGCTTACAGCAACATAACTTAGAATTATGGACTTCCTTTTCTTGATGACTTCAACTCATGAGCTTCCAAGGTCCCAATGATGAATAAAAATTGTGTAGGACTTAGTTCCCTGGTTTAAATATATACTGTCGCTAGTATTCGGTTCTATTAGGACCGAACAGTAGAAGCTTCAGTTTCTGCTCTTTGGTTTGACACCGAGTTGATGTCTGAACTATTCACAGATGAATCTACTTCTAATGTTGCCATCTCCAAGTTGGGCACCACTGGAGGTCTTGTTCTTCGTGTTACGGTCATATTTAATCCTTCCGTAGTGTGGATTGTAGCCCCAGTTGTCATTTTAACCTGCAGAGAAGTTGATTATCCTAAATAATTTCTTGAGTAGGTAAAATAAAAATCATATCCTCAAGTTCATCCAGGTGTAATAAGTACAGAAACAAACAATATGTCAGTAAAATAAATCTATCATTTACCAAAAGGAAATGACAAAAATTAGGAGAGGACATCATAACTTACAGGAGGAGCTCCAAGAGCCATTTGAAAATCAAATCGTCGGACAAGCATTGCAACTGCCACTATATTCTGAAATTAGATAAAAGGTTTTGAGAGGGAGTTCTGAAGATGCTATAAGAATATTAAGGAGAAGCTAAATGCAGTCATATCAAGCAACCTCACTTAGATATAATTGAAAACCCTTGTCCCACAACTGCAGTCTACTAGTTGAAGGATTACCTCAAATGTGGCAAACATGTCTCCAACACATTTTCTTGGTCCTCCACCAAAGGGCAGATAACTGATAGAATGGAGTGGAAAAAGTTTTTTTAGCTTATGTATATTTCAAGCTTTAAAACGAAAAACTACTAGGATAATTTCACATGTAAAGCATACAATATATTAGCTCAACATGGAAATAAACAGAGAAATATTTTGATATGACCTGGAAGTTGTTCATACATGTCTCCAGGAGGATGTGGATGAAATGAATTCTATGCAATCTTATCCAGAATGAACACAAGTGAGGAAACTTGCTAAATTGCTTGGTTGTGCAAATATTGAATGAAAGTCTACCCCTCACTTCTACAAGGCACCAACACTATCCAGTCCATATGTTTGTTACTTGTTTTAGTAAAGGATATGAAAACTAACCCGACCTAAAGCAAACTTTCTTTCCTTTCTGACTATTATATTCTTATGTGCCCTCATCCATAAGCTTCCTTCTATTAAAAAGAATATAGACCGATGGTAAGAAAAGAAAGAGCACGGCTTTGTGAATTACCCATGGCTAGTTCATTTGTAGATTGTATTGCTTGCTACCAACTACATTGTTGAAGATACTTATTCTGATGTACCTAATAGCCTCTGAATAGACGCAAATGACTCGCTTGAATAGAATAATTGCTAGCTCTGAAAGATTAAATGAACTGGTAGCATCCAAAGCAAGAAAATAGAAAAGTCTATACACCTCGCAAACCATTTGTTCTGTTAATACTTCATTATCTCAATTTACCACACTTACTTTCCATCTTCATCTGCGACATCTTCACACTTGTTTCCCCTAAAAATTCAAACTAACACTACTCTATATTACTTGTCTACTTATCTATTATCAGTACCTTTATTTCAACTGTTTTAAAAAATATATATATAATATTCCTGAACTTTCTTTTTCTTACCCTCTAGAAAATGGTAGATAAATATAGATCTCTGCAAAAATAGAGGCAAAGTAGGATAAAAATAAAAAACCTAGCATGTCTCAATGTTAGCATAAAAGCATAGTAAGGAGTCTGAAACAAGGATAAGAGCAGCGTCAAGAGGTCTATAGGGGCAAACACAAAGTTGATATATGAAAAATGGCTAATTATGCGAGTCATATTTTCAGTTTCAACTTTTGATTTACAATGATATTGCAACAAGTTGCATTTAGCAACTGTTATCTGACAGAAGTTGAAATTGATTTTACATATTAAGAGTGCTACGTGGCAGGAATCAAATATCAGTTAGTGAACAACAAATTTTTCAAAGTCAAGATTCTTCAAAATAACTGAAAAAGTACTGTGCAGATCCTCATCAATGAGTAAATTTTCCAACGGAGTGATATTTTCCCTTAAAAGTAACTACCTCGTGGGAGTTATTATACAAAACAGGGAAGAAGACAAATGAAATATAGAGGACAAATAAATAAATCTCGAGTAGGGAATGAAAGGACATCTATCTCATTATTGCTTAATGACTTGCTGACTACGCGATAGATTGATCAACTACCTTCTAGAATAATATAATATATACTCCTATTTATATAATATATTCTTTTTATAACCGCGGTGTCGAGGCCAGCTCGCACCTCGACTAATTATACGGGATACCTCTACCTCCCAAGTCCAACCAACACAGGTACCAGGTAACTTTGTCTATCAAGGTTTGGACAGAAGAAATCACCATGTGATTTTTCAACCAGTGAGATTTAAACCGAGACCTTATGGTTCTCAACCCACTTTATTGACCACTAGACCACACCTTTACACAACAACAAGTACCCAATAAACAATAATTCATTTGATAAAAGAGTTGTTAACTTAACCTATGTTTTAGGCATACATATTTTCCAACTATTATCATTTAACTGTATTGCAAACTCTGTTCCACCCATCATTGCCCTGCCACGTAAACTGAAGGGAGAATCTAAATGTAAAAATATCTCTCATAGTCAATTTCCCCGAGCACATTACTCCAAATGGTGAAAGCGAAACCACATTTAACATGGCTCACATCCACAAGGTCACAGTATTGATGACAAACATAGAGTTGCTGAGCCTAGTCACTCAAATTTGACATGTTAACTATAATTGCCTTTGATCAAGTCATTTGCAACGGTATTTCATTTTTAAACAAAATAAGGCAAAACATTTCTCTAAACACTCTGATTAAAATTAACATGCACTACAAGAATGAGTAGTTCTTTCCTAAAAACACAGGCACAAATTTAAGCTACTCTTTTTATTTTGCATAAACTTAGTTACTAAAGGTAACAAGAATTTAAAAAAATTATAATATATCAAAAGAGTGTGGCTAATAACCTGAGTTTTCCAAAAGTTACATTATAGATGCTGATAAGCTGAAAACTGCAATACCTGTAATTTTGGTTTGTCTCATTTGGGTTAGGTCCATCTAAAGGCCACCTCTCAGGATTGAATTTATCAGCTTCTTCCCAATGATTGGGGCACCGATGCAAGTTCCAAACAGAAATGAAAATGTCTTCACCCCTGTGAAAGTGCTTAATAATTTCAGAAATATGATGACTGAAAAATGATGTCAGAGAACCTAAACCAACACATAGTCCCAGAGATCTAGACAGTTGATAATGGCCATACGCTAAATATGGTGCAGATGTAAGTTCATCTTTTAAGGTTTATGATGATAAAACCTCAGTTGATCACTAGGCATGTTACCCATGCCAAACCCAAACTACTGGAAACCTAAAAATGCTAATAGAAGCCTATGATCAATCTGTTAATAAATAACTAACTGTTACAATTTCCTTTATGGTATCTTCAAAGTGCAGTATGCAAAAACTCAATCACTATCTTAGTGTTTCTAATTCAGCTTTTTCAAGATAATCAGTGAACTACAGCACATAATTTCTCCAATTTGTCTGAAGCCAATTACAGTGAACTTAGTGTTTCTAATTCAGCTTTTTCAAGATAATCAGTGAACCACAGCACATAATTTCTCCAATTTGTCTGAAGCCAATTACAGTGAATGACCACGATTGATCATGAACACTCTTTGACTATACCATTTTCCACTTTGTCCTTGCAGAATGTTCAAGGCAGAAAGAAAAGTATATAATATGCATGGTGAAGGCTTCTGTTTTCGATGTTAAGATACTGTTATGAGAAGGGAAGACATTATAGTGCTAAGTCAGACAAGAGAGAGAAGTCTGTCAAAATTATTGCCAAACTACAGAACAAGTTTAAAGAACATAGCTGACAAAATGACGCCAATATACTACTATCCCAATATTAAGGGTGCAAATGTTTCTGCAAACAATGAACACCTGTTTCTTTCTTTCTCGGAGCAGGATAGAACTTATCTGCGGTATTCACTTGTTTCAGCATCTCTACACCCTAGGCATAGGCAAATTTACCCTAAATTTAATTTAACATGCATGAGAGGCTTGTGCAGAATGCTTCTAAAAACATATTTCAGGATAACCTTTTTATTGGGTAACCTCCAAGTACGTCCTCATCAATAGAACGACGAATCAAGACGGGTGGCTGTGGGTATAGTCTTAAAGACTGCAAAATGAAAAGAAGTATTACACAAAGGAAACAGTTGTGAGCACAAGGATTTATGCTTACAGGTAACATTCTTCTCACTTCATTAATCACACGAGTTGTGTATCTGAGTTTCTTTAGATCTTCAATGGTTGGAAACCTATCCCCCAGAACTGAATCGACCTGAAGTAACAATAAATACACTAAATATGAGATACAAGTAGCTGCTTTCAATAAAAGCTGATTTAATTATATTTTATTTTAACCTACCTCATCTTGAAGTTTGGCCATGACACTAGGCTCCTGCAGTTATTTAGGATTGAAACGAAGGTCAAAGACTATAAAGGAAGAACTTAATAACTACCTATTGAAATAAGATCTCTTTTCTCATATCACAAATAAACCATAATCTCCAAAGGTTCAACCATGAGAAAAACTTAAGATCTTGCAAGTATGGGTGTTGAGTAAAACACGACATACTCAAAACACGACATGTAGACAATCTTAATTGACACTAAAACATCTATTCTGTGCATATTCTTTTTGAAGGAAAAGGCTTCACATAGAACTGAAAAACATCTGCATAGGTTATCTGAACTCCATATTCTCAAGCTTCAAGTAATTGATTATCATTCTATTTTATGAAAGCTGTACGCACATAAGACGACATACTTCTGATTAGTTTATATATGCACCTGTTACTGTTACTGACAGAAAGTCCAAAATGAAGAAGGAAAACCGAAAAAGGAAGGAACCTTTCACCCCTAAAAGGCAGCTGAAAGAAGGATTAAATACTTATGCTTCTACCTGAACTTGAAAGGGGTAGACTAACCTTGGACAACAGATAAAATGTCCAAGTGAGCACTGCTGCAGATGTCTCGTGTCCAGCAATAAGCATTGTCATGAGGTCATCACGGAGTTGCTTGCTTGACACCTACAACTTAGGGCATGAGAATTTTCCCAACCAAATTTTTGGGCAGTATAAATGCCTTCAAAACTCCGATATGTCATACCTCATCACCAGACGCTAACAGGAAATGGAGGATGCTAGGATCTTTTTCGTTCATGTATTCCTCGTGAAACTGTAACTCTTCTTCGTCTACCATCCTCTTAAATGCATTTGTAGGTACGCACAATTCAGAACAAAATTACAAGCAAAAGATCAAGCAAAATCAATTTTAATACGTGTCAGAAAGGCACTGGCAACATAGGAAAAAGAGTTAAAATACTTGCATGTGAGTACTCACCCAAAGCAGCATCTCTTCAAAATTTCTATTTGCAATAAAGTTTGCAGCGTATTTCCTAAAGGCTTGGTTCTGGTGCTTAAGCAGTCGTCTCTTTTGCCTTTTTTTTTTTTTTGATGACCGAGAAATCCGTCTGAGGCCGATCCTTTGGACAACCGCAGCCTTCGAAACTCGGTGGATAATGGGCCCACCCCTCTACCCTTCTCCACTTAAATACCAGGCTT